AATAAACACAATATAATAATACCTAAATAAATTATTATACAATAATATTATATAGGTGAATTTAGTCGGGCGCAGCTTGTACGCAATATTAATGTCGATACGAATGAAATATTATCCACAAAACGTTATAATATGTATATTAAAATACGCAGGCTACCTGCGAAACAATATAAAATATAGGTAGGTAGGTAGCCGGTCTGTGCATTATAGGCTCTGCAGAAAAATTGATTTCATTCCTTATTTTCTCCTTCCGTCTTTGGTCCCTGCCGGTGCAGGCGTATACGCAATAATAGGTATAATATTCTATGGTAATATCGCCTGTGAAATAGTGCGACGGGTCGTATAATAGTATAATATAGTGGGTACCTATAGGGGTACATGAGAAGGCCGGTTCGCGTAGGTAAATTTTCCGACTTCGACATCAGCCGATCTCTCCGGTTTTATTGTAAAAAACGTGAAATTTGACGTTTAAAATAATATCGCAATATCGTCGCACCACTCATCCCTCCCCCTACGACCACCACTCGCAGCGGGGGACAAGCGGGGACCTATATACTCTATATAGTATATATGTAGGTATGCTTTGTACTCGTATATTATGCAACTTGTACAATACATGACAAAAAACGGGTTCGATAAATCGAAATCGACAATATAACGCGTCGTCACGAGTATAATAATATAGTATTCTCAAAACTATCATCCCCCCCCGAATCGACTGTTATTGTATCATTAATAACTGTATAACCTAAATAATATTTAAACACTGCTTGGTACCTGTATTATATTATTATAATATTATGATTTCGAGTATTATTGTTTATATTATCATATTTCAAGTCGCTATAGCCGATTGTTGATATAATATAATGCACGTAACCTACCTACTATTAATTATTATTATCATTGTCACACAGTCGACTTATTAATAAATAATAACAATATTGTATAATATTATATAGTCGGCGTTGATTAATCCCACTGTGAAACATCGTAGCGGGGGAGTTTCAATTTAAAATCATTCATACGCATACATATCGTATTATTATTACACGTGCGCATATATTTGTATGCCGTTCGCATATATTATTTAGGTACATACAGTCATTTGTAAACTATACCCTGGTATCCGTGTTTTCCACCCACTGTAGGTACCTATGATTCCGTTACCGATATAGAGGTTTTTTTCCGTATCCGTTTTTTACGAGTTTTTTCTGTAAGCACATATTATTATTATTATCGTGTCAATAATTTCGACCACAGGACGTATATTTCGAAAGAAACACTCACACACTCAAAATGTTTATTTTACATTTGTGTGTGCTTGTGCAGTTGAGCGTGTGTGTGTGTGTGTGGGTGGAGGGTAATTCGATAAAATACACTATTCGTCATGTGAGATGTTCATAGATATTAAAGGTATATTTCTTTAATACCTATCTATGGAGCTGTTAACGTTTGAATGATGGAACTTGTGTTGACCAAAATATCCACAATGTATATAAAGTATACCTATATTCAACACGTAACGCGAATGGTAAAATACTAAAAAAAAAAATACTAAACACCTTTCTCTCGAATTACGGATGCCGACGACTTTCCGAATTGCAGCGAGCGCGAGTATTGTACAAAATAATTTGGCAGATTTCAAGATCACTTTGCCTAGGAGCCAAGGAGGTGCGGGTACATAATTTTTAAGCGCATAAAATTGTTGGCTACATATTTTAGTAATTTCGTCCTCACAGCGGCGGCAGCAGCCAGTAAGCTCACGCCATAATATGCAATCGCATAAAACAAATCAGCAATGGTATATAATATACCGTCATGACGGTATACGGTAACTGCAGCAGCATTCTGTATAGAAAACCCGCGTTAATCTTAAGCTTAATACCCATAATATATAACGTGCACATAGTGCACGTATACATAGTGTCACCGTCAAATATATACAATAGGTGTATACACCATACTTATATATATAGAATAACGAGATATATACACATATACACATGTATATAAATATATAACCGTATAGATTAGGTTAGCACTGTAGCTAAAATAATATTGCACGCAGCATAATAAATCAACACAGGCTGACGTTTATTCTACCGAACAATTATTATTGTAATTATAATTATTATTACTGTCTATACGTAATTATACAGATACATTTATACCGTTTTATATACTTAAGACCTCGGTTCCGATAAAAATAAAATGCCAACTACAACAGTTATAGGTGTAACATACAAAAAAACACCTTTTTATAACATTATATTATAATATTTCACAGCGAGATTGTATATAAACGGAATGCGGTGTGTATGATATTATATGATATTATATTATTACAGTTTGGTCTGCAGTTTTTTAGGTACTACAGACTTAAAAAGGCAATAAAATATAAATTATTATATTATAAGTTACTTTGTTTTCAAATAAGCGATATTCAATTATTTGGTCCAACAGTTTATTATTATGACGTGACAGTGATCCGCGTTATTTATATATATTTATTTATATATATTTACGGGTCTAGCCCTTTTGAAAAACAAAGTTTGATATATACAGATTTACAACTAATAAGATATACATAGGTATGGTATAAGCATTAACAGAGGCGGGAGGCGTCAACATTGGCAAGAGACATAATTCTTGTGATAGGTTCGTTCGCTAAATAATTGGAGGTGTAAGAAGGAACGTAGAAAGGAGCATTATTTCGAGAATTACGTTGAGGTACTCTAAAATTAATTAGGCTTAATAGGTAAGGCGAATCTATGTTACCTGATATCAATCCATTTAGAAACTTAAACCCTAGAGTAATTCTCCGATTAGAAAGGGTGTCAATATTGAGGAATTCGGAAACAGGGACGTAATCGTGAGGTTGATGATGTATATTTAGAATAAACCCAGCGAAACTAAGGAATTTTCTTTGTACCATTTCAAGTTGTCGAGAGTGGCCTGCAGTATGTGGATTCCAAAGAACAGCACCATACTCTAAAATTGGACGGACAAGTGAACAAAAAAGAATTTTTAAAGATAGTCCTAGCTTAAAGTCGTGAGCCAATCTCTTTAAGAACCCAAGCATTTTGTAAGCTTTACAGCATATCATAGTGATATGCGGTCCCGGATCAAGAGAACTGTTGAACATAAAACCTAAGTCAACTATCATTTCAACACGGGAGATTACCGAATTATTTAGACTGTAGGACCAATTAATTACAACATGTTTTCTAGTGAATGACATAATATGACACTTATCAAGATTCAAAGTTAAGCCTAGTTCTTGAGACCATTTGTAAAAATTGTTTAAATCAGCTTGAAGTATAAGGCAATCATCAGGAGAATTTATTTGCATAATTAGCTTCATATCATCAGCAAAACAAAGTAGTTTACAATGATTTAAAACTCTGTTAGCACTATTTACAAATAAAGAAAAGAGAATTGGGGACAGATGACCACCTTGCGGAACCCCTGAAGAAGCTTTCAATACCTTAGAAGTAGTACCAAATACTTTTACTACAAAATATCTATCAGAGAGATAAGAAGAGAACCAAGTTATGAGAGGTTCACCAAATCCTGAATCTTTAAGCACACGGATTAATAGTTCATGATTCACTGAATCAAATGCCTTTTTAAAGTCAGTATAAATGACATCAACCTGACTATGGTTTTTAAAGGCATCATAAACCAATGAGGTAAAAACAAGATTACATGTAAGTGTAGAACGACCCGGGCGGAAACCATGTTGCTCTTCCATCAAAATTCCATTAACCTTTGGTTGAATGTATTTTAAAGTTAGAGATTCAAATAGTTTTGAGATATGTGACTGTATTGAAATCGGTCTATAATTCAAAGCACAAGATAAATTACCTGATTTCGGTATCGGTGTAACATTACTCAACTTTAATATTGAGGGAAAAATACCTTCATCCAGTGAACGCCGAAAAAGAGAGAATAGTGGAAATGCAATGATTGACCTTATTTGATATAAAAATTCACCACAAATTCCATCAGGACCCACTGACCAATTACCTTTGAGAGCTGACAGACCATTAAGAACATCATCCAAAGAAAAATAAACATTATTGGGCAAGTCAAATTTTGAAATATTTGGTAGATCGTTTGTAGTATTAATATTATTCGTTGTGTACACCGAAGAAAACATATCAGCAAACATATCAGCAATTTCAGTTTTATTAGACGAAACATAACCATTGTGAGAAATTTCCATAGGCATACCATTACTTGCACGATTTTTTTTAACATATTTCCAAAAGTCACTAGGGTTATTTGTTAATGAAGATTCTACATGTTTGTTATATTCATTAAAACACTTTTTGGACATATATTTGAAACGAGCACGTAGCAACGAAAAATTATTATAGTTTTGACCATTAGGATTAGATTTATACTCAACATGTGCTTTTTTCTTCTGTATGTTGATATGTTTTAATTCTGAATTAAACCATGGTGGGTAGGTAGTACTCCAAAAGTTACTTTTGGGTACAAAATTTAAAATACTTAAATGCAAGGCTTATCTTGTTCGATATACTATCGAATAAGGTATTGAAAGCTGTCTCAAGATCGAGGGTAGATAGAGTAGTATTCCAATCATAACTTCCAATAAACGAGGTTACGTTAGAGTAATTAGTTTTACGAAAATTATAAAATATCTCTTAAGTATAGTTTTTTTTTTTTAACTATTTATTATTATTACGTTTCGGTGGCTGTTTTACAGTTATCACAAGCTGTCACAACTCTTCGATTTCACTTATAGCCATTCTATAATTTTAGCAGAGTACCTATGTATTTGAACTCCATGCGGTTGTCATTCAATTTGTCCTAAATTATTCTTAAATCCTCATGTAATGAATACCAGGAATATAGTGTAATAACTAATAAGTTTTATCTTTAATACTATAATAATCTTAGGTTTGTTGATAGAATAATGCGAAATCATCCATTTTTGTACTATAAACTTTCACGAATCACCACTACACTTAAATGAGTGTCTGGTTGTGCATTAAATAATATATGCGTTTTGCATTCGGCCCAATGGCTTGTCTGATCATAACTCTACATTAATAAACAGTGTTATAGAATTACAAATTAATATACTTTACTCTTCGGGTTCTCACATATTTTTACAAACAAATAAATATACATACCCAATATTTTGTATGTTTTTGTAATTGCTTAAGGTTATTTTTGTAGTCCACACTGTTATCTTGGAACACACAGGTTTAATGTGCAATCCTATACCATTGACATCAGTTATAACAGCTGCAAATTTGTCTCCAACTATGTGTAGTACCTACAGCACAGTAGGAATTGTATATAAATTTATAATATTACGTATTTTTAACATATATATAAGTTTTTTGGCAGGGTACTCATAATTTTACTTTTCGCCAATATTGTTCGTAAGATTTTCGTTGTCATGGTTACTATTATTAACAAAAAACATATCTATATGATTCACACACTTTTCTAGAAAGTTTAAAATATCAAGTGAATTACCACTTAACCGTAATCCTAACCATATAACCATGACGAAATCCTATCTATCAATAGTGGGAATCAAGTCTAGTTTGTTTTTTGAAGAATCAGATTTTCGATATTTTCAAAAGTTTTTCTGAAACCCCATAAATAAAAAAAGACTGATTCAATATTATGTGGAAAAATTAATTTAAGCGAGTATGACTTGAATATAACCATGTTGGGGTTCGTTTTTTAAGTACGATTATTAGTGTTATTCAACATTAGATAATTATAATAATTGTATGCAACTACATTGGAAAAAATGAATTCAACCTATATTGTTAGGTACTGAGAGAAAGACAAATTACTACCTAATAATAGCAATGTAAAAATATAATTAAAAAGGAATGCTTAGAAATATAAGCTGACACACCGACTCAGTTAGGGTTTGTTTTTCGTGATGTACAACAATTTGTCACTGAATTTGAATTTAACACAACAGTGACCTACTCAGTGATGTGGTGCTGTTCCATTGGTCAAAATCGGGGGGGGGGAGCTTGAGGAGGTTTAGCCTTCCTCAAAAGTCCATCAACCCCCTCCTTTTTTAGTTTTGTAGGCCCCCCCTGCTCACATTGATGTTAATAATTTTAGCCCCTCCTGAATTTTTTTATACATTTCCGCCTATGAGTCTCAACAGGCAACACCAAAAGCAAAGGAGAGCGAATTCGATATATTTTTTTTTTAATTATTACTTTGAATTTTCTTGAAATTTATAATGTAATTATTACTAAGCTATGAGTATTTTAATCCTATTTATTGGTTGAAAGTCTGAAACTATACTCAACTAATATTGTTATTAATTATGTTATGTAACATATTATATCCCTGTCGAATGTTAAAGTTTTATACGCACCATATTATTCCATATATTATGCAAATTGTGGTTATCTTTCAATATGATTATCCAACGCCCTGCATTTTCGTTACTTTTGTGCTCCCAGGCGGGTACGCTCTTTTCGTTGAACACAAATAAACACGTGTTTAAAGATTTTGCCGATGGTTGAATGATGTGGTTGAGGACTCTAGACACGATTAATTATTTTAGTTGTTAGTGCTACTATTTTAATCAAATAGATAAACTTGATAAAAAAAAAAAAAATGAATACAAATCACAGTGTAATGTGATTTAAGATAGGTGTCTATGCAAAATATTAAAATGTATTTTAAGGAGGGATGAGTGGAGGGCATCGAACAAGGCCCAACTATACTTGAACTCCGCCACAAGTAGGTACCTTTTTTTAGTGTAAACTCTGTCAGGAAAAAAAAAACAAGGAAAATTGAGTCCATGTGAACTCCGCCAGTGAAGAAAATCAAGTAACGGTATACAATTAACATAATATAGGTACCTATTATTATTAAAAAAAAAAATTGTGATAGATAATTATTGTAATAATCATAAAATATGTAGGTTTGTTATATTATATTATAATATTTTGAACTGTGAACTAAAATTATGTGATACAATTTGTAGATATTCGAACTACTAAGTCTAAAATAAATCCATTTTTATAACTATTCATCATCATTCATCTAACACTCATCATTTTTTTTTCATTTTGAATTTAGTTTGTTTAGTTGACATATATATTACCTAAGCAAGGCATTTACGCAGGTGGAATTTCCATACACCCATTCCAGGTAAGAAAATAAAACTGGCGGAGCTTACATTAGACCAATTGCCTTTTTATCTAACCGGAATTCTGGAGGAGTTTACAATCGCCCAAGAGAACATGGATCTCACACAATTACTTGCAGGATTCGATTTTGCCCAAAAAGAGTGGAAAACATTAAACATAATTCGAACAGGCCATGGACGATGAGGGTATTTATTGCATAAACGGGATCATTCCCGACCCTAAATTGTGATTGTATGTATGATATTCAAACAATTTATTACATAGTCTCATAAGAAAAGATGATGGCTGGAACGACTTCATTAATGCAACCACGAATACCATCAAGACCAGCTTGATCTGAATTTATAAAATTATTATTATGCTAATTTTTATTTTTCCTATTTTTGATCGTCATTATTATGATTATTAATATTAAATTGAAAAACATTGAGTGCTTTTACAGTATATCCCATAGAATCGTCGAAGACATTTTATGGATTCTATTTTACATTTTTATTCGAACAAATATTTGGACTACCGCAATACTAGCACATCTATAATTACTAAGAACATTAGTAATTTTACCTATTCTCGCATATCTCTCATTATGCTAAAAATTATACTTCGTTTAATGCTTTTACCCAAGTGACAATGTTTCGCTTGATAAAATTTCTGAAAACTTCGGCATTGATATACCTTGATAAAGATAATAAGGCCAATTTGTTCTATTCGAATTAAACATAAGTAGTTTAAATAATTGACTTCAATAACAAAAATTATGTAGGTATTAGCAAGAGTTAGGTAGTTATGTCTTATAAAAAAGGTGGTTAATTACTAATTTTGATTTTGTTTATTCTTCGAATTGTTTTGATTTTGATGAAAATTGATAATTTAAAACATACCTAAATTGTTGGATTATCAATTATTTGAGTTTAAATTGTACAACTTCATAGTCAATTAAATCTTTTATTCTTTCTCAATTTAATTTTGAACCAACGGTATTAAAAACGTATCATCAATATTATTAACTTACTTCCACAGATGAGTAACATCTCGAACGGTTTCAATTTTGGTCAATGATTCTTCCCATGGATACCTTAAATTCAACTTAGAAGGATTTCTATACCAAAATGTCCAAGAGTTTATAGGATATACCATTGCAACATCCGAGTATAATGATTCAGTAGAATTGTTAATTTTTTCGTTAGTTTCAATGTTTTTCATCAATTTTTGGTACTCTTCGGATATATTTGGTTTCGATTTAATATTTGATTCAATAATAATTTCGGGACACTCAAACTGAAAATAATCGTTGATGAGGTTCGTAATTAGTATACAATGAGATGGGCAATAGTTTTATTGCATCACGCTACTGTTATATTAAAATGTAATTTATTATAATATGAAAATCCGATTGTATAAATATTTGGAATTTGGATTATTATTATTATCATTATTATTTTTTTTTTACCTAATATAATAGCCTGTTATATAACAATACAATTAATAATCCATTTCATTATTGATGGTTTTTAATTAATATTTTTATCAACTGGAACATAAAGTGTGATTACAAAGCTCTAACACAGATTACAATTAATAAATATGAACATTTGTCAAATTTATATTTTCATGTCTGTTCAGGTATATTTTTGATACTATTATAATTACCTAGTTTTATAATGAAGTAATACAGATTTTTATGTATTGCCTTTTACATATACAAATATTTAATAGTTGTTATTTATACCATACAACAAATATTCACATAATGAAAATTTGTGTACAATATAAATTGGTTTGATTAATTAACTTTTTTATTAATTCATTACACAACATAGGTGATTACTCAACTTGAGGAACTATTACAACGTATATTACTCACATATTTGATCAGCTTTATGTAAAACCAAATAAAAACCCTTATTGATGGCATTTTTTTTAAAAAAACAATTGTCTAAATCAAATTATATTTAATAACTTGTATTTACATAATATTATTAACGGAGAAACTGAAGCGTAGAAGATGTATATTCCTTTAATTTTTCACACGATAAATTGTATGATATTAATATTATAATATTATGTTTACCTATTACGAATATAATATAAGTTAATCAATGAAAATCATACCTGTTCATTTTTTTTAAGACTATATTCCATCTTAATATAGGTAATACTACAATATTTATTTTTACAAACACATAAGTACTAAAAGTTGAATACAAAAAAAAATAATAATAAATAAATTAATAACTTAATAACTATTATGTTTGATGTCAAGGAAACAAAATATTGTATTATACTGAATAATAATAATAATAATAATAATAATAATAATAAAAGTATTTGCAATATTACTATTTCACATTACGCATCAATCATTAGTAAACTTGTAAGCCAGAGGCTAAAAAATAATTTTTTTCGTACTACACACTTTATATACACTTTTATTTTTTTGAAACAACATACATATGTTAGTGGTTTTTTTAAAAGAATAGGTACCTTACATTCATTGATTTTATTATTTGTATTATTTAACGTATCGATCATTCGAAATATTAATTTTTATTTTATAATATTATTTTAAATATTTTAAATATTGTATCTATAAGTAAAACTTGTAAAAACGACTCCTAAAATAATAATAATTATTATTAATATTTAAAATTCTTATCTATCTATTTACCAATGTAACATCAAATAATTTTTGAATTAACGAAGAAAAAATTGTAAAAAAAGTTATTAGGTAGTTATTTACAGGCCATTACACACTTTTTAATTTCGTACTACACACAATTTTAGTCCCCATTGTACGCTACCTATTTGTTTTTTTTTCTTATAGCAGGCATATTTCTGTGTTCATATTAATAGACCCATACACCGAGGGAACTATGATAAAAACATTTTTCACTGTATCTACTTAGATTTTTTTTTTTAAATTGTTTAACTAAAAATTTGAATTTGTGTATTTGTCAAAAATGTTGATTCTAAGTGTTTATATAAGTTTAATAACACTAATCACTTCATTAGGTAATACTCATTGGCTATATACCAGCAGTATAAACCTCTAATACATTGTAAATAAATAAATATAAGATATAAATATATTGTTGATGTGTTTAATACATTAAAGTATAAAATTCAATAGAACTAGGAATATATTACATATTATAAATAATTTACCTACCAAATAGTTAGTTTCTAAATACTTAGTCAAATGTTTACATATTAGATATTTTATTTTGAAGTAAATTTGTTTAGGGAGGAATTTCATTTTTCATTTTTTTAAGTTACACAATTATTTAAATGTCTAATAACAACTTATAGATTCCAACAACATATATTATTAGTTATTACTTAAACAATAATCTATCACATTATATTATGTGATGCGTCTAATAAATACATTAATCTATAATCTATATTAGGTGTTTATTATTTATAGATAATAATACGTGGTGTTTAACTGATTTAATAGGCATAATGTGCTTTATATTGAGCATTATAATATAACCTAAGTGTAAGGAAATTGACTGTTCAATTTTTTGTCATTATATTTTAGTATTTGTTTAGATAAATTGCCATGGCTACTGCATTATTTTTTTTATATTCTAAAAAAAGACAAATATAATATGTGTCCTTAAAAGCATTCTAATATAAAATTAATGTATTCAGCGCTATATTTTTCTTTTTTTTCTCTTTTGTCGTCGTTATTCTTTTCGTAATATGAAACCTATAATTTGCCTGATCGTTAAGTTCCAACATTAAGTTGAAATTATCAAGCATTTTGTCTTGATCCGTAATTCATTATTTACAACTTGACCTTTTTTTTTTCGCGTTCCCGTGTTTCTACGAGCTCTTTAATTTTTCAACCCTCTTCGTTTCCGATATAATTATACCTCTATGGCTATATCTAGAAGTATATATTTATAACAAGTGTGTCGTATTGGTCGTATATTCACGTGTAATTTATAGTCAGACCCCTCTACCATGCCCTAAACTTTGTACCGAATAGGTATATAATCAGGCGATCGGCGTGCCAGCACGTGAAACATATCAAAAGGAAATTAAATATTTATCGTTAACAAAAATTGAAAAAAAAAAAAATAAAATATATATTGCGAACAAAAGAAACTATTGTTGTTGTTATTTTTGGTTTATTCCGAAACAATGGTTTTATTATTCGATATTTACATCGTCGTGTACGGAAGATGAAAAGTTGTAAACAATACCATTGGACATATATATACCTGCTCGCATTGATAATAAATTAATATTTTTCTAAAAACCGGATCCATAAAATATGAAATTAAATGGGATATTTTAATGTTCATCTGTCTTGTCATATCGCATGAGTTTTCCACTATTAGGTATACGGTTTCACCCACAGTTTGGCCGTCAATTTGCCACTGCGCTCGTTCAAACAATTTATATTATTGTGGTTTTCCCGTGCACCTGGGAGCCCTTATACCTTTTTCTGACAGCGGGACCCTTATGTATGTAGAGAGGTGGGTAGCTTTTTTTTAACGCTCCAAATCCAAAGCATCATTCTTCAACGTCAAATGCAAGCCGATATCTTTGAAACGTGTCAATACTTGGACTTGACCTTTGTTGTAGGTTCACTATTGTATATTTTATTTTACAATTTCGTTGGCATAATGTTATTTATTTGGTCCTGACGATTATATTATTGTTGTGTACCTATATTTAAAAAAAAACACCGTAGGAAAATTAAATTGTGTATATAATTATTTAGTAGTTGTATACATTTAAATTAATAATTATTATTATTAACGTTGGCGGAGAACTTTATAATTGACGATAATTATTATCGAAATATAAGCTAGGTATAAGGTTAATTTTCGTTATATATTTAAATTTTTTTGTAAATTCTGAAACTTTGGACTTTACGGTGCTATTGAATACTATAATAGTATAATATAATATTGATATACATATATAATACTATTCCATAATAATATATTTATTATCTGTATAGATTTAATAATACTATACCATTATGTTTATATGAATTCACATTAAAATTAGTTAGCCATATTTATATTCATATATTAATCATTTTTGAGCTTTGTTTTTGTATCCCAAAATATACTGTACCAGGTTTTTCAATTAATTTGTACTTCAACTAATAATTTTGCATATTAATTAGTATCAAATGCATATTTCGAACGTATTTTAAGTGGCTTTTTAACTAAGCATACATGTGAATTTTAGCATTTTCCTTTTTAGGTTGTTTATTAAAAACATCTAAATATTTTATTACCTATCAGGTATTAAAATTACAACGTATTATTCAAATACAGTGGCGGGCCTTTTGTATATTTCGTTTTTCAGTTTTAACAAAATATTTAACTTGCAAATATAGGTATTTTAATGTATTATATTATCGAGTATTCGTACTTTTTATTTTTTTTAAAAAAAAGCAATTTTATCTAAAATAAGTGTCAAAACAATAATTGAAGTTATAATATTACGAACGGCTTAATTAATTATTCATCTTTATATTCATTACTACACAATGGTTATATATTGAACTTGATTATTTTAACTAAAGTAGTATACTGTACAAGAGTATAAGAATTATAATAAGTGCTTCGAACTTTGAAGTTTGCACGAGCTTGATGAATGGAAAGATGTATAATATATTATTTGAAAAAAAAAGCAATGTAGGTATACGCAACTGTCAACGCATTTGTACATATTTCGGTATAAACTGCGTTTTTTAAATCATTTATAAAATAAAATGTGTGCACCTACGACCTACTTATCAGTAGGTATTAACATTTTAATTTCGCTTAGCGATGTTAGTGTACTTTCCACTTGGAAGAAAATGTATGAATTATAAATTTGTATATTATTATAAGCAGTGGTGTTTTGGAGGGTATACGCGGGTATACGACGTATACCCTATCACCAGTTTACTGATTTAGCGTATACCCTGTAAAATTACTAGAGATACGCAAGTATACGTGCATATACCCACGTATACCTTCAAAAAACTTAAGTAAAATAAAATAGTAATTGCTTCCAAAAAAATATTTTTATCTTTATTTTCAACGATGGAAAATTATCAAATTTTTTTTAATGATAATCGACTAATAACCATCATATCAATATCAAATTCATATATTCACAATTATAATCACGGCTATGGATACAATTATTTAAAACTATCAACGTAATGGACACAGTCCACAGAT